GCGTCGTCGTCGTCGTTGTCGCTGTCGTCGTCGGCGTCGCTGTCGCTGCCAAGTGCCATTTGGTACCCACCGTCACGGTCTTAAGAGATTTTGCAAACCAAGTTGCGGGTGGGTGGGTGGGATGTTTGCGCGAGCAGTGGAGTGGACAAGTCACTGGGAACAGAAATTAATTCTCCTTTCTGGAAAGAGAATAGACTCTCCCCCCCCTCCCCCCCGGACTTATCGGTTCCCCCTGGGATAGTATGATTTCATATTTAATCTGCACACTCGTCCATCCTAAATCTGACATCATACCATCCCAGCTAGGCCGGTTTCCCCCCCCCTAAGGCTCCCTTGTAAAAAACACTATGCGGTGACATTTTTTGTTCTAACATAGCACTTTTTCAAGAATCCCTTGCAAAAAATGGGACGAAGTGCACACGCGCGCGTCGTCGCGCGCGCATGCCGAAATCCTTCAAAAACCTTCGGTGCGGGAAGGATTTCGCAATCGAGTTTCCAAAAAACATACAAAAACACAGGATTTCGCAACACAGAGTTGCTAAAAAAGCTTCCGCGAAAGCTCTTGCGAAATCTTAAGAAAACCATAGGTTTTTCAAGATTTTCACAACATGCTACCAAACGGGCTTCGCGCGCGCTCATGTCGAAATCTGTCGAACGCCCTTGCGCGTGTGCCGTCGCGAAAATCCCATGCAACAAATTAGACGAAATGCAGACGCGCGCGTCGTCGCGCGCGTATGCCGAAGACCTTCAAAACCCGTAGGTTTCGGAAGGATCTCAAAATCGTGTGTCCAAAAAAAACTACAAGAACACAAGGTTTCGCAACACGGATTTTCAACAAAAACGTGCGCGCGCGCTCTTGCGTCGTCGTCGTTCGTCGTCGCCGTCCTCCCTCCTCCCGCGTCGTTGTCGTCGTCGTCGTCGCCTACGTCGTCCTCTGTCTTTCCTCGTGTTCGTCGTCGTCGTCCTCTTTGGCGTCGTGGTCGTTTCCGTCGTCGTTGTCGCCGTGGTCGTCCTTCCTCCTCCGCCCTCGTCGTCGTCGTCGTCCGTCGTCGGCGTCTCGTCGTCGTCCCTCCTATTTCGTCGCCGTCGTCGTCGTCTTCGTCGTCGTTGTCGTCGTCGTCGTCCCTCCTCCCTCGTCGTTGTCGTCGTCGGCGTCGCCGTCCTTCCTCCTTCTTCGTCGTTCGCGTCGTCGCCGTCTTCCCTCCTCCATCGTCGTTGTCGTCGTTGTCGTCGTCGGCTTTTTTTCTCCTCCCTCGTCGTCGTCTCCGTTGGCGACGTCGTCGTCGTCGTCGTCGGCGTCGGCGTCGGCGTCGTCTTCGTCGACGTCGACGTCGGCGATGTCGTCGTAGTCGGTGTCTGCGGCGCCGTCGTCGTAGTTGTCGCTGTCGTCGTCGGCGTCGGTGTCGTGGCCAAGTGCCATGTGGTACCTACCGCCACGGTCTTGTCTTAGGAAGTCTTGCGACCAAGTTGCGGGGTGGGAGGGTGGGATGTTTGCACGAGCAGTAGAGAGGACAGCTTCAAGACGGTCGAAGTGGATTGCACAACATAGATTGCACCACTGGGACTGCGCGGCGCTGAGGCGAGAGCCACATTTTGAAAACCACCCGCCCTCCATGTGTGAAAATGTTGTCAACGTTTAAGCTTCAGTGCCATAAATCGTGAGGCAGTCTCAAGCGAAACGCCTGGCCCGCCCTAAAAACCAGCCTCGGGTTACGATTGGGAGAAGTTATTGATAAGGAAAACGAATGGAGGGGGAGGAGGAGGAGGAGGAGGAGGTAGAGAAAGGTAAGGGGTGGGAGGAGCGGGAGGGGGGGAGAAGGGTAAGGAGGAGGAGGAGGAGGAGGAGGAGGAGGAGGGGGAGGAGAAGGAGGTGGAGCGGGAGGAGGTGGAGGGAGAGGGGGGAGGAGCACGAGGGGGAGGGGCCCACACCAGGATGATGCGAGGAGAGACGGCCGCCCACCCCTCCCCCCCCCCCGCACCCGCCAGGCCGCCGCCGTGGCCCTTCGACCTCGGGTCGATGCCGCGGTGAGGGTTCGCGCGAGGGGTGCGGTGGGGGAAGGTGCGCACGCCGGTGGCTGCGCTCGCTGCTGCTATCCTTCCTTCGTGGATGGCAGTGCCTGGCCAGCATGGCCTCTGCGTCGTCGCCCGTCCTACCTTCGCCATCCGTCCTCCTACTTCCTTTGCCTTCTGCGTCATCCCTTCTACCTCGTACCTCTCATCTTTACTCCCTATGATTAAACACCCCCACATCCCCACCTAGCCGGCCGATAGCAACCCCGCCGTCCTAAATGTCAAACATCAACACAAACTCATGTTTCCCCCCCAACATGTCGTCGTGCGAAACGTGTAACAGGAATGGGACGGAATGAACATCGCTTGGGTAACCCTAAGCGGGTGGTCGCGTCCCACCCATCAAAAAGCAATACAAAGTAAACGTTGGACTTTCTTGTCATCGCCGCTGCGAGTCGCGCAGCGGGAATCGGACGCGGCGCACATCGCGCGGGGACGCCTGTTCGTCAACATGGAATTTCTTGTCGTCGACGCTGCGGCCCGTCGGATTGAGGAGCTGGGCGCGGCGTACATCGCGCGCGGTTTTGTTTCTCGTCGACGTTGCTCAATACGCGGCATGAATAGGACGAAGCTCATGTCGCGCGCTGAACGTCTAGCCGCCCGCGATATAAGATGACCGACAGGCGTCGGACGCGACGCACTTGCTTTTTATGTTGTGGGAGGGCGGGTGGGAGTGGACGCGGTTGTCTGGCTCGTTCGAGCTGGCTAACTTGACCTCCCCCAACCCCCATCCCTCCAACCCTTCGTCCTACCCCACTACCCCCCTTTTCTTACCGTCCAACCTACCTTTACCTCCCTGCGCCTCCTTCGTCCTCTCCCCACCTCCCCCCTGGCCCCCCCCACCATGTATCCTACGTCCCTCCTCCCTGCTGTCCCCCCGTTTTCTCCTCATTCCTCCTCCCCCCCCTGTTTCATCTTCCGTAGCCATTTTGGTTCAAGTTTGAAACATGTGCCGCGAAGATTCGAGCTTGTCCACAGCTGTGCGGCAGACCCGAGGTCAACTTCCAGGCGCATCCAACAACGATTTTTTTTTCAGAGGCTCGCGCCCCCGCAGTCTCTACAGACCTTTCCCCTTTTTTTTGTTTCTCTCTCTCTCTCTCTCTCTATCTCTCTTTCTCTTCTGCATGCACATATATATATGTGTTCCTTAGCTTGCGGGATAATCCATCTATGTTTGGCGTGAGCGCCGTGGTTTGCACAGTCATCAGATGAAGTGAAACTCTGTTGATTATGTGTCCGTAGTCCGTCTTTTTTGCTCAAGCTGTTTTCTGGTCGGTCTATGGGCCTCCCAAAATCTTTCCATGTGGCTGTCGCTACGTTGTGGGGGTTCATGTTGGGATCAGAGAAGCAGACCTGGCTGCAAGCGATGCAGCCCGTTCATGTGGATGTGCAGGTTAATAACACTGGTGTTTGCAACTGCACGTGTGACTCCCTCTCGCGCCTCTCGGGAAACGGATCTGTCAATCAGACGTACATCGAGAACCATTTCCACAGCCGTCTCCCATCCCAGCCTTTCTCGTGGATCAACCTCTTCTGCGTTCTACAGAGCGCCTGCTGTACCTCGGTGGCCGTCTGTGCTTGGTGCTGCGATGGCGTACGTCGGAGGACTGCCGCCTCTGATGGGGCCGCCCGCAGCGCCCCCGCCAGGACAGGGGCCAGATCCTCCTGCGGTGCCCCAGTTGCAGATGCGCCTGGACGGGTGGCCACAGCCGACAAGTGCGGGGTTGTGCAGTTGGCGACGCCTGCTGGTCGAGTTCGAGGGGGAGGGGTTCTTACACGAACGTTTGGTGATTAAGGCACACCCCAACGGCGGCTCAGCCTGGATTGCGACGCCTGATCAGGACGAGTATGAGGAGGACTACCGCAACGATCCCGACATCGTGGGGGTCACCTTCCTGGATGATGCGGGTCGCCCGCCAGCGCCGCCCCACCTGCCGGTGTACGCCTTTCGTGCTGCCCCGACTCAGGCCGTCCTGCAGGCAGCGCTCGGCAACGCAGAGGTGCAGACCCAGCTGTTGGGTTGGGGGCAGGCTGTCGTGGCGCCGCAGGTCCAGGCGGGTGCGATCGGTGTCCCAGGCGCGGGGAAGTGGCTCCTCGCGGAGCCGCGCGGCAACATGAAGATCGGGGATGAGGCGCCTGTCGCTCCCACGGGCCCGCTCGCGAGCGTGAAGGCGGTGTCGACCTGCACGCTGCCGTCGGGCAACACCGTGGCCGTCTTCGTGGAGTGGGTGCCGACGCAGAAGGTTGGCAGCTTCAGGGATGAGAAGATCGATCTCTACGCGTCGGAGGTGAGTGATTGTCGCATTATGAAGCCCCGTTTCGAGCATGGCGTTCGCAGTCGTACCTTCAACGACGGAGTGTTAGAGTTGTTCGAGGAGCCTGACCTCGATGGGTTCCCGAAGGGTCCTCGCATCACATTGGGCACCGCACAGACTTTGAGGTCTCAGGGGCTGACCTGGCAGACCCAGGCTCGTGAGTGGCCCGTCGCGGCTCGCATTCCTCCTGGGGACAGGTCGGTGCACGAGTACAAGCTGATCTGTGAGGTTCTGAATGCGTTGCAGTGCAACGATCAGTGTAACCTGCCGAACCTGGTAGGGGCCGAGCTCTTGGCGAGGCGCAAGAGCGTGCTGGAGGAGGCGCACGCCTCGTCTCCCAGCAACCCGGACTACAGCGCAGCCGACATCATGATGGGCTGGGCTGAGACGAGGGGCACGGGGAGCACTCCTGAGTCACTCATGAGCTACACCGCTAACAGGCTGAAGGATAAGGCAGCGATCTTGAAGGAGAAGAGGAAGGCAGTCGATGAGTCCAGGCTCGGGGGCAAAGGTCAGCCCTCGAAGGACAAGGACAAGGGCACGAAGAACTAGGGGGTCGAGCTCGACCCCTTGGGCACCCCAGCGGGTGCTTTCGTCGCACGTCGATCTCTGACGATGTCCGACAACCGTGCTGCTCCTCGTGAGCTTCTACCTCTTCCTATACCGCCTTCATGGTCTTCGCCGTCCTGGCCTAGGCACCGCTGCAGGAGGCTGCAGCAGCGCTTCGACCGCAGGAAGGCAGTTCTGAGTCGCGCCGTCGACTCCGTCAAGGCGCTTAATTGGTTGCATGGTGGGCGCCAGCCTCCAAGTTTTTCGAGTCCGACCCTGTCGCAGGCTACGGCTCTTCAGCACCTTCTGGACGTGCATCGGACTGACGTCCCGGAGATCGTTAATGCCGAGGCAGCCCGCGTGGAGTTGCTCGGCGCAGGTCAGGATTACGCTGGTGGTCCTGAACTTCCCATCGCGAGTTACGACAAGGATCTGCTCTCCATGCCCCAGCTTGGGGCGGAGCCCGTCGACCTGTCCACGGTGCTGGAGGGCAGGGCCAGAGAATGTCTCGTCAACTTCGAAGAGGAGATCTTGCACGGTCCCGACGATTGGGGCCATATTACTGAGTGTGAGGAACATGTTAGACCGTATATGGATCCAGTGCTTAAGTCCGACGCTGACGCTTACTTCGGCTTCGTGATGAGGGGTCACAGGTCGGGTTTGTTTCGCTTCGGCCGCACGCCCCGTGTCATCGTCACCCCTTTCTTTGTGAAGAAGAAGGCTGGCACTTTGAGATTGATACTTGACTGCCGTCCGAGTAATCGCAGAATGCGAGAGAGCCCCTACGTTCGGCTGGGAGGGCCGGCTGATGTTGCTCGGCTATGGCACTCGCGCAGCGACGGGGACCCGTACGTGGCCCTCGGCGACGTAAAGGATTATTTTCATTGCTGCGGGCTTCCACCAGGCCTTAGTCCATATTTTTCCCTGCCGCCCGTGTCAGGTCTGCGACTTCTTCAGGCTGGTATTCACAATGTCGAAGGTATCCCTGTTCTCCCCGGTGACAGCATCTTTCCACAGTCCAGGGTCGTTCCCATGGGGTGGTCTTGGGCCTGTTACTTTGCGCAGTCTGCTACAACGTCCCTGGTGCATCGTTTCTCGGGCTCCGAGGGTGACAGCTTCCTGGAATCATGTAAGCCTCCTCCTGGTCTCGATCGGCCCGCTTACAAAGTCTACATAGACGACATTAGCATCTTCGGCCAAGGTAAGTCGCAGACCGATAGGATCGCCAAACAGGTTTTCGACGGGGTCGAGAGTGTGGGCTTTAGAGTCCACGAGCGCACGTCTGCCAGCAAGTGGGCTCTCACGCTCGGCCTTGAGATCGACTTCCTGCATAGCACGGTCCAAGGAAAAAGGCAAAAGAGGTGGAAGTTGAAGGCAGTTCTGGATTGGTTATCAGGTGCTCCGTATGTGTCGGGTAAGGAGATTGAGAGACTCCTGGGCCATACCACCTTCCACTTCGGTCCTAATCGGCTCTTCCTGTCCATCTTTAACAGTGCCTATGACTTTATTCGTTCGAGTTACACCTCTCGAGTGCGTCTATGGCCCTCGGTGGCTAGGGAGTGCTGGGCCGCTGGGTGTCTTATCTCGTTCGCGTTCGCCGATCTGGGAAGGGGCTTCGACCCGCTCGTGAGCTGTTTCGACGCTAGTACGTGTGGGGCAGGGGTTGTCACGGCGCCTTGGGACTCGGCTCAGGTTCGGTCCGAATGCGAATGGGAGGAGAGATGGCGTTTCAAGTGGGATGTGTACGATCGAGTTGCGCCCAGGGACAACAACTTCTCATCGCTGGACTGGGGGGACATTGAAAGCGTCAAGCCTTGTCGTGACAGGTCGTTGCTCTGGTCGCTTGACAAGTCGTTCAGAGAGGTCCCGAAAGAGAACCTTGTGGGCCCCACGTGGACCAAGGTCGTTCGGAGTTTTTGGAAGGACGAGGAGCCGATATTCTGTCTGGAGGCTCGCGCGGGTCTGCTGGCGGTGCGTCACAAGTTACGGGCGGTCTCCAGTTTCGGTAAGACTCATCTACACCTTGGGGACTCCATGACCGCCATCCTGGCTTTCGAGAAGGGTCGGGCTAAACATCGAGGTCTTCTGGGTGCTTGCCGTCGCCTTTTGGCTCTGAGCGTGGCCTCCAACACCAGGCACCATTTCAGGTGGGTGCCGTCGGAGCTGAACCCGAGTGATCCTGATTCACGTTACTTCGAGCTTCCAGTTGACAGTGATGGCCGACGGTTGCTTCGTCGCTCCACGTCTCGGGCCTGGACGGCACAGGCTGATGGCAAGGGGAGCTGGCGGGCCGTCGATCCAGGCGACAGTGCCTTCGCCGACGGCGGGCGTGGTCAATCTGAGCCGCCTGGTGCCTTCGGCGGGCCCGACTGCCCTGACTGGGCCGCGCCCTCGGCGCCGCCCAGTGGCTGGCGCGCCGCTCCCTCGACCTCGCCGAGAGGCGGACCCGCTGGACACGGTGCTGGCCGAGAAGACACGTCGGTCGGCTCGACGCCTGGTGCTCAAGCGTCAGAGGGCGTTGAAGCGGGTTCGTGCCATAGGGGGCGTGGTTCCAGCCCTGAGGGCTCTGAAGGGCGAGCGCACAGTGCTGGAGAGCTCTCACCCGTCGACTCCCGTCAGGAGGGACTACTGTCGGCGGCTCGACAAGTTCTGGGAGTTCGGGCGAAGCCAAGGTCTCTCCTTGGCCAACCTGAAAGTTTGCGACGACGCGCTGTGCGACTTTGCCGACCTGCAGTTCCTGGACGGCGAACAGGTCGACGCGGGGGCCAAGCTCCTGGCCGCCTTGGAGGACCACGACGTGCAGCGGTTCGGCAAGCCCAGCCTTCCTCGGTTTCGACGAGTTCTTCGAGCTTGGCATCGGAAGGGGCCTGTGGGCAGCAGGGACCCTCTACCGTTCCGCCTCTTGGCGGGCATCTTGGGTGTCCTGTCGCTCCACGGCTTCCACGAGGAGGTGCTGGCTCTGGCCCTCATGTTCAGCTGCTACCTGCGCCCGTCCGAGCTCCTGACGGTGGTCGAAGGCGACCTCCTGGAGCCGGTGGCCAACGCGGGCGTCGCCCTCGCGTGCTGGAGTCTGCTCCTGCGGCCGTTCGAGAGGGAGGAGCCGACCAAGGTCGGCCAGTTCGACGACACGCTCCCGCTCGACAGCCCCGACTTCCCCGGCTTAGGGGCCCTCCTTGCTGGCTTGCGCGGAGGGGATGCGGAGGTCTGGCTCTTCAGTTTCAGCCAGACGCAGCTGCTGCGCCGCTTTCAGGCGGCTTGTCGCGCGGCGGGCCCGGGCTCGCTGAACCTCGAAATGCACCAGCTGCGCCACGGAGGAGCGTCGAGGGATTTCCTGCTGAAGACGAGGGAGATTCAGGCGGTCAAGCAGCGAGGACGCTGGGCGAACGATCGCACCTTGCTCCGCTACATGAAGGCGGGCAGGGTGCAGAGGCTTCACAAGGCTCTGACGCCCGAGGCCAGCCGCTGGTGCCAGGAGGCGGAGGCCAACCTCTCGCTCGTCCTTCGCGGCGCGTGGCAGCCGTCCCTTCGGCCGCCAGGAGCCTGCCGCGGTCTCTCGGCGGCGGGTTTGTGATCGAGGTCTTCTCGGGCAGCGGGCGGTTGGCCAAATCCTTCGCGGAGCTTGGCGTCCCAGCGCTGACCTGGGACATCGAGCACGGCCCCGCTGGCGACCTGCTGGACAACGACGTGCTGCGCTGTGTGCTGTCGCACATTGCCTCGGGTAGGTGTCTTTTCCTCTGGGTAGGCACGCCGTGCACTTCTTTTTCTCGGGCCCGAAAAAACGACGGTCGCGGCCCTGGGCCTCTTCGGGATCCCTGGCACCTGGAGGGCCAACCTGGGCTTTCTCCCGCCGGCCTCGCTAAGGTCGAAAACGGGAACCGTCTCTTAGGGGTCTCACTGGTGCTAATGCGATGCGCAGCAGCTCACGGCGCCCCAGCTGTGTTGGAGAACCCTAACACGAGTTTTTTATGGGACATGCCTCAAATGCTAGATTTTCGATTATCTCATGACACTACATTCACGGTGCTTCACTTCTGTCAGTATGGGGAGCGTTGGGTCAAGCCCACTCGTCTGCTCCTCCTGTCTTGCTCTCACCTTTCGGCCGTGGGAAAAACGTGCACTGGCCGCGGTTTGTGTTCCAGGACTGGAAAGCCCCACGTCGAGCTGCGGGGCAAAGACCCGACAGGAACCTTCTGGACCCTCCGCGCTCAGCCTTATCCTCGCCAGTTTACTCGGGCCATTGCTTCACTGATGATATCTCACCTCATCAGTGCCGGAGGCTCTGCCCTTTAAACCTTCGGCCAGAACGCTACTCTGGTGCGGGTGTGGGTGCTCTTTTGTGGCTCTTGGTGGTTGGTTGCCCCTCCGTTGCCCTTGCCTGGTGGACGTTGGCGGGGCGACTTCGGGTCCCCGTCCACGCTCGCTGGGCCAGGGTAGCGGCTGGGCTACCAGCCTCCTGCCACTGCAAGATCTGCGCCTCTGGCGGTGATTTGATTTACAGTCTTCGAGCCTCGGTGAGATGCTCTCTCTGGCGCGTGAGCAGAACGTGAATATGGATATATATATATATATATATATATATATATATAAAATATATGTATATATATGTATATACATATATATATATGTGTGTGTGTGTGCGTTCTGTTCCCAACATCTCTTGCTGTGTGTTCGAGGGCGACCGCCATCGACCATCCCGCGGGCTCCGCGGGCTGGATGTGGCATCGCCTGCTGGGCCTGGGCACCAACCTCGCAGTGACCCAGGGAGCCGGAAGAGCTTAAAAGTTAGCTCTTGCGCAAAATAAGCACCGAGGCGCTTATTTTTAACAGCGCGTCTTTTTTTGACTCCAGGAGTTAATTTTTAGCTCTTGGCGCGCCGTCATTGAACCACCATGAAGAGGGCCGTAATGCGTGGGTCGGCGCATGCAGAGTACCGTCATTGAACTCTGCGATCGCACATTCGCAATCGCATGTTCATTCTCAATGTTTTAATTAAAGCTGTGCGCGGCCCGCTTAGCTTCTATCGGAAGAGGCTCGCTCTCGACCCGCGGATCAAAACAGTTCATTCTCAATGTTGGGTTTCGGGCTCAGTTTTAGATTAGGGATTCGACACTTGTGCGTGTGCGGTAAAGCACACGCACACACGCACGTGTGTCTCAACTTTAAAAAAGAGTGCGGCCAACACGTCGTGGTCATGTGTGCATATATGTATGTATATATATATGTGTGTGTATGCATATACGTGTATATATATATATGTATGCATGTACGCATGTATGTAGTATGTAAGCACACCTATACGCACATATGTTTATACATGCATGCAGCCACACACATATGTATGCATGTATGTCTGTCTGTCTGTCTGTCTGTCTGTCTGTCTGTCTGTATGTATGTATGTATGTATGTATGTATGTATATATGTATATTGATGGGCCTTCGGACTCCGGTATCGATGACGCATTGTGGCAAATGCGCGTGTGCGTGTGCGCGCAGAGAGAACGCGCGCGCACACACAAACACACACACACACACACGAACACACATACACACGCGCGTGCTTGTGTGTGTGCGCGCGCGCGTGCTTGCGTGTGACTGTAAGCACGCACTCACACATCATACGTGCCATGTACACAAGCGCGCCCGCGCACGTGACCGCAGTGCCAAAAAACGTGTTTGCGCGTTGGCGTGTGCGTGCATGTGCGTGTGTGTGTGCGTGTGTGCGTCTGTGAAGTGTGCGCGCGCATGCGGGCGCTGCCGTTGGGACCTTCGGAGGAGCCCTCCATGTGGCCACCATCGAAGCGTGAGAGGGGTCTGGCAAAATAGTGGATCGGGTGCATGCGGACGCTGCAGCTGGGGCCTTCGGAGGAGCTCTTGTATGAGGCCACGGTGTTTGCTTGAATGGTCTGCCCATGTAGATCCTTACGTGGCCATGGAACGTGCGAGGGGTCTGCATATATTGCGTGGTGGGGAGGCCTTCGGTGGAATGAAGCCCAACGCGTGGGGTCCGCAAAAGCGATTGGGTGGGCGATGCGGGCGCTGTCACTGGGGCATTCGGTGGAGCTCCCCATGGGTCCACGAAACGTGCGAGGGGCCAAATATTACGTGGTGGGGTGGACGCATGCGGGCGCTGCCACTGAGGTTTTCGGTGGAGCTCTCTATGGGGAAGGTGTGGGCGTGGGGCGGTGTCTCTGGAGGACCGACCCAACACCTGAAGATAGTTGTGATTGAAGAAAGTAACAACAAAAACACAAACACTAACAAAACACGTGGACACGACCCTCGACATCGCAAAGCTGCGACACCACTGCACAGCGACGCAGCGCCACCAAGACACCAGAGCAACTCCCACCACTACGCTGCAAGTCACCAAGACGCCACGACTCTGCGACATCACGTCACGTCACACCCCCTTTCCTCAACGTTTTCCTCCTCCTCCTCCCGCCCACCCGTCCCACTGGAAGCATCCCCCTTCCCTTCCATCTCGCCGTGCGACGAAGGTTAGGTTCGGCGCCACCCCAACATACTGATACTATATGTGCATCCCCCCCCGAAGAAGCGACGCGCGCACCGAGAAATCTTATACAATATGCGTTGTGGCAGGCGCTTTCTGGCCACACCGCTCGGGAAAATTTATACTACAAGATCGAAGATGGGTATACTATATGTTCGGGTCGGATGCGCGCCTCCAAGGAGGACATATAGCACTAGTATGTCTGCGTGTCGGCCATAAGTGTTCGATCATGGACCCCTTGTTAACCTGAACCGCCCAACTTACGCGAAGAAGACCGCCGAAGTCCGCCGGAAACCGCCGGAGACCGCCATCGACCGTTGGAAATTGCCGGAATCCCCCGAAGGCAGATTAGCAACGAGGGGTCCATGGTGAGCACTGCCTACAGCAAATGCCACCCACGTTCAGGGGAGAGGAAGCCTTCGCACCCTCAGCAATAGCCGTTTCGGGCCAAGAGATTGAGAGAGCGAGGCTGGCATGGCCTCGACACGAGCAAAGTGTTGGGTACCCTCCACCACCGATGCAGTATTCGATGAGCCAGCGCCCGTGCAGATCAAGGAGCTCACTACTTAATTCACATTGTCCTGTAAGAATCGTATCCTCCTCCACCTCCACCTTCTCATACCCTCTCCTTCCTCCTCCACCCTCCTCCTAGCCCTAGTCCTTCTCCACTTCCTCGTCCTTCTCCTTCTGAACCTTGTCCTAATCGCCCTCGCCATTCTCGCTCTCCTCCTCCTCCTCCTCCTTCTCCTTCTCCTTTTCCTGCTCCTTCTCCTCCTCCTCATGATTCCAATCCTTCTCCTCCTGCTCCTCCTCATCCGCCTTTTCCTCCTCCTCAGCCTCATCCTCGTCCTCTTCCGTCCTCATCCTCATCCCGTCGCTCTTGCCATCCTGGCCCGTCCCTTTCTCATCAGGAGTGCGCGCTGCCCTTCATCGACGGTTGGCTCGACCACGGCGTGCTGCGGCATGGTTCCAACGACATGAAGAAGGGCCTCAGCGTGCAGGGCCTCATGGACCACGAGCAGTTTCTCACGAAGCTCCTGTCCCTGGACCCGAGGGGGGCTTCTTTGCATGGGGCGACCTGGTGGAAGCGTTCACGGACGGGGGCGTTCTAAGTGGCACTGTCCCCCTTACCCGACCCTTGAGCCCCATGACTTGGAACGGGTCCGGAGTGCGATAGTTTGGAATAGGAGGCATGGGGAAGGGGCGGGAGGAGGTGGCGGAGTGGGAGGGAAGAAAGAGGAGGAGGAGGAGGAGGAGGAGGAGGAGGAGGAGGAGGAGGAGGAGGAGGGAGGGGGAGGGGACGGAAGACGGGGAAAGGATGGGAGGACTGGGAAAGGAAAAGAAATGTGATGGAGCTGGAGGGAGGAGGAAGGAGGAAGACGAAAAGGGTCTGTTTGAATGCCAAATCCCCCAGGACGCCATCAACGAGAATCCTCAGCGGCGGGCCATCGCGGAGCGAGTTGCTTGCCGCCAGAACTACGGCAACATAGACCAGTTGGCGAAAGAATATGCTTACGTGACGAAGGTCATGCTGTGCCACATCCGGAGGAAACATTTCCAGTACCAGCGTCTTCTCGCCAAGTTTCCTTCGGAGCCACCTGGGCCCCCTCACCATCCGAGCGCCCTGGTAAGGATCTACTCTTTCATCGCGCGCCCCCCAGTTCACACCGAGCTCTCGAAGGCCTCCGATGTCCCTGATCGCCAAACCAAGCCAGAGAAGAGCCCCTTCCTCAACTTGCACCTCGCTCGAGTTTCCCTGGTCGAGTCTGACGACGAGGACCAGCAGTGCTGGGAGGGCGACGGGGATGCCGCCGCGGTAGAGGAGATGGAGGACGAGGAGCCAGAGGAGGTCGGGAAGTATTTCGACATCTCATTGCGGACCGGCATCTGCTTGTTTTCCGACGGCTCCCAAGAGACATCCACGACGTTCAAAGCCGGAGATGGGGGATTCGTCCAGGTGGTGTTCAAGAGCGGCATGTTGACCACAGAGTTCCCGAACAGCTACCTCTCGAAGGACGGCGAGCTCAAGATCTCAGGGCCCCCGAATCCCAAGGACCTCGAGAACCAGAAAAAAGTGAAGAAAGAAGTCAAGGAGGAGGAGGAAGAGGAGGAGGACGACGAGGCCGCAGATGAGGACGGAGATGACATTGGGCTCGTGAGTCGGAAGCCGGCAGCTCGGATGAAGAGGCCAGCGGCGGCGCCCGTGATGAAGAAACCAGAGGGGGCCCCCGGCACATGGCGCGCTGACGATCCCGGGTGCGCGGGCGACTGCGACGGCGAGCTGGAGCTCGAGGGGGATTCAAATTGGGGAGGGGGGGGGGCATTCCGAGGTCTATGCGTCCTCGGCCCCGTGCCCGTGGCATGCTCTCCCTAAGAAAGCTTCCCCTTAGTGCGTTCCGATTCCTAGACCGTCTCGCGGGCCTGGCTTAGTGGTGGTGCGACCCTTCTTGGGATCCGCTTTGCCTCCTCCTACTCCTCTTTTCCCTCCTCCTTTACCAAGTCTTCCTCCTCTTCTCCTCCCCTTCTCCTCGCCCTCCTCGCGCGCATCTCTGGCTGCCCCTCGTGCTCTTCCTCCACCTCTCCCCCTCGGCGCCGCCAGGAGACCCCGCCCCCCGAGAAGAAGGCCAAGCCCGTGGACCCGACGCCGGAGAAGCCGCTCGCGGAGCCCCGATCGGGGGAATAGCGGGCGCGTAAGATAGGATGAAGAGGAATCCTGAGGACGAGGACAGCGGGAGCGAGGAGGAGTAGGAGGACGTTGCACGAGGAAGGAATAGCATCAGGAGGTGAGGGAGGGAAAGAACAGCGAAGGATGTGAGCAGACAGATGATGAGACACAAGAGCAGCGGCAGGAGCAGGAGCAGGAAGGGAAGGAGGTGAAGGGGAGGAGCCAGGACGATGGAGGAGGTGGTTTTAAAAAGGGAGGTATGATGATGATGAGGAGGAGGAGGAGGAGGAGGAGGAGGAGGACGAGCTCGCATATCCTTCTAAAGAGCGTCGCGAGCTCGTGGAAGCCATTGCGGAGGCCCGTGGACATAGGAAGCGTGGGAGGATAGGGAAAGGGGGGGGGCGAGGGGGAAAGAGGAGGCGCTGCAGAAAAGGGAAAATGCATGTTCACCCTGTCGGGACACATGTCCCAGCACAACGTTTCCGGAACATGCCCAAACCCAGAAAAACACAAGGAGGAGGAGGAGGAGGAGGAGGAGAAGGAGGAGGAGGAGGAGGAGAAGGAGGGGGAGGAGGAGAAGGACGACGGCGACAAGAGGTAGAACATAGAGGCCTCCTAGATGGGTTCGGAGTAGACGGGGTCGGATGATCGCGCCGCATCGGCGATGCATCGGCGATGCATCGCCGATGCACCAGCGACGTCGGCGATGCATCGGCGCCGTCGGCCCGCATCGCGACGCGGCGCGATCGTCCGACCCCATCCAATCGGACCCCATCTGAGAGAGAAGGGTTTGTTGCATCGCACGAGGAGGGCGGTCCCGCTGCTGGCGGCGTGCCTTTCTCGGTGGGAAGGGGCGCAACCCTCGCGATCAACATGCCCTTCAATAACACCCCCCCAGCCCCCTGCCCAAAGGAGCAGATGGACAGCAGTGCCATGAACCGCATGCCCACCCCGATGGTGTGCAGTCGGCCTCGTGAAACTCTCGGTTTACACAATCATCCCTACCTCAAATACCAAATCCACAGATGCAAGAAATAATTCATCCTACAGTGGTTCCGGTGGAAAGCTGCAAATATCTCAAATCAGTCAGGGGGGGGGGTCGTCCCTCCTCCTGCTTCCCCTGCTCCTCCTCCTCCTCTTCCTCCTCCTCCCTCGTCCTACTGATCCTACTTCTTCCCCTCCTCATCGTCATCATCCTCATCATGCCCCTGCCTCCTCCTCCTCCTCCTCCTCCTCCTCCTCCCCTGCTCTTGCCCCACCTCCTCCCTAGCACGTCCCCTGCGGGGATTCGCCTGATATTGCGGGGGGAAGGCTGGTGAAGGAGAAGATATGATGGGCAGGGGAGGTCATCCGGAAGCTCTCCGATCTCAGCTACACCAAACTGGAGCTGATTAAGTTGATGACCCCACGGAAGGGCGAGAACAAAACTTGGACTGTGAACTATGAGTTTAATGGGACGCAGTTTAAGGTGAGGTCGGCCCGGAGAACGGTCGAATACATCACATGCGTCTACGTCACTCAGCGCCCAGGGTCAAAGCAGATGCAACGGTGGGGGGGGGGGGGAGACTCTCTTCCTAATATTCTCCTCCTCCTCCTCCTCCTCCTGCTCCTGCTGCCCCCTCCTCCTCCTCCTTCTCCTCCTCCTCCCATGTCTCCTCCCTCCTTCTCCTCCCCGACCGCCTTGTCTACCACTCCCTCCTCCTCCTCCTCCTTTCCCGCTTGCCTATCCCGTTAGCGCTGATCCCCCTCCCTCTTATCCGCGCCCTCGTGGCCCCTAACCCCATTCCCGCCCCGTTTACGTCCCTCTTGATTCCCCGCGATCTCTCTCTCTCTCTCTCTCTCTCTCTCTCTCTCTCTCTCTCTCTCTCTCTCTCTTTCTCTCTCATTCTCTCTTTCGCTATCTCTCTCGCTCTTCCTCTCTTTCTCCCTCTCTCTTTCTCTCTCTCTCACTCTCTCTCTCTCTCTCTCTCTCTCTCGCTCTCTCTCTCTCTCTCTCTCTCTCTCTCTCTCTCTCTCTCTCTCTCTCTCTCTCTCTCTCTCTCTCTCTCTCTCTCTCTCTCTCTCTCTCTCTCTCTCTCTCTCTCTCTCTCTCTCTCTCTCTCTCTCTCTCCGTTCACTCCCTCACACACCGTTTCTTTCACTCCGGCTGCATCCCCTCCCCTCTCTTCTCCTACAAGGGGTCGGGCAGGTGCCAGATCATGGACACCGCGTGGAAAGGCATCAAGCTGACTGCCAAGGCTGAGGCGCATTCATTCTCTGTTCTCAATACGGCTCTTCTGATTGCTAGCAGTGAGAAGCTTGAGCCCATCAAGGCCCAGCTGGAGCTGCTCAGGGATGAGCTTGTTGATATTATGCGCGAGCACCTGGGGGTAGGCGCCTGATCCCTGGAGACATCAACATTGTACTTTTTCCTATCTTGGGGATCGCGCCAGCATGCACATTTAATGGTTTGATGCGTTTTTCTCTCCTGTACACTCCCTATCTATCTCTCTCCCTTGTCCCAGGGCCCCGGCATCGCATGGGCGACCATTGAACTGGTGGCTCAGCTGGCAGTCGAAGTGAAAAGCTAAGATGAGGAGGGGGAGGACGAGGAGGGAGGGAGGGAATTACTAGGACCACCAGCCTCACAGGAAAAAAATCAACCAGCACACAAGATGTTCTAAAAAAGGCTGAGAACATACACATACATGCAGGACAGCACGCGCGCGCACACAGCTCAGGCTTTCGCCCTGTCCTACAGGAGGGGGGAGGAGGGAATGCCCACCTTGCCATCGCTCGGACGTCCATTCCCCGTTCTGTTTGGGCTTCGTGCGGATCTTTTCGCTAGATGATCCAAGATGGTCCTAGATCGTCCTGGCCGAAAAATACACACGTCCGAGCGATGTCAAGCCACCTGTCTCCAACTGCACCCCTTCATACAAGTGATCCGACTAGCATGCTCAATGTTTCCCAGACAGGGCTTGCACTCAAGGTTCGTATGGCAATGTTGGGGTTCCACGTCGATTGCAGCTCATATCTTAAACGTCCAGAGTGCAAGAATAGGCTGCTTGGGGTCCACGGTGGCAAGCAATGTCTTGGTTGCCCTCAGCCGTATCAAAGATCAAAGAACGTCTTTATGCTGTCCACGCTTTTCACGTGAGCGTTTCCATGAATTTCTCTTGGAACGCGCCCATGGCTATTATCGTGTTGTGCTTGCTCTTGGCAGGGGCTCAGGGAGTTATCCGGAAGCCCGCAGCGACGAAGCCTACTATGAAGAAACCATCAGCTATGCCGATGATGCAGGCCCGCAACTATTACGAGGACAACACGGATAGAGTTTGCGAAGAGATTCTAAACTTCGGGCATGACATACTGGACCATTTGGGACTCGGCCACACTATGATAGATATCAGATCCAAGATCGAGCAGGTCCCCAGGACCAACCATTTCATGCATCTCTTCTGTGGC